ATTTTTACTGATAAAATTTGATTTTTATGATAAGGTAATGATTATGCTCATCTAATTAGAAGATAATGGTCAAAATTTAAGATAATTACTAGATTATATGATAACCTAATTATTTGTAAATTTTGAATTGTGATTATCTTGCCAAATAAAATTGGACTACGTCAAATTTAGATAATTGTAAATATTTTTGATTATTTTATTATTTTAAATTTCATCTAGATAGTTTTGAAAAGTTTCAAGACTTTCCCTCAAGTTTTGGAATTTAAATTTTGATTAAAAAGTTTTTGATTTTGAAATATTTAAATTCTAAACCCTAGAGTTTGAAAAGTTTAAAAATTCAACCCTTATACTATTATAATATTAATAGATTAATACTTATATATATATATATATATATATATATATATATATATATATATGTATAAGTTGAGTCAGTCTTACCGTTAGTAGTCCTCATTCATAAAGCTGGTCTATAAGGGGTGTTTAAGGAAGCGGCCTATAAAATGATCGCGTATCCACTCTTACCCACCACACTCTTGACTAGTGGAGGGTCGTTAGCCGAACGGGTAGGATAGGACATTAATTCTCATAGATCAATGGAGCGTGTGTGGCTAACCGACACATTGATTAGGTGGTAAACGACATCGAGAGTACCACACACATTTGCATGGTTATTCACACCTTGTTTGTGATCCTCGGTATCCCAGTCACAAACTTGAAGGGCATAATCGAAAATTCGTAAAATAACAATTTTTAGGGTGTTGTTTGAATAATTGAAGTATAAAAATCGAAGTTTTGTAGAATGACCACAGGATCCACAGAGGGTGCATCGACTAAAGCCTTTGAGGAACCGGAATAGCTCTGCGAATATGAGGTGGCATCGGTAAACGACAATTTTTTTTGGGGGTTTTAAGGATCCGCAGAGGCGTCTTTGCGGATCTTCTATATGTTTTGCAGATTCTTTATTGCTCTGCGGATCTGCTATTCCTCCTTACTCGAACACAGTTGGAGGCTATGATTTAGGGTTTAGGCAGTCGATTCGCAGAAGGAAGCTGCGACGTCGATTCTTGATCGTAACGGACACAACAATGTCGCGGCGAGCTCGATTCATGTAGCAACTGCACTCCGATGTGTTATCCGATGGATATGGAACTCAAGTAATATTTCATTTTTTTCCTAATCTTTGTATAAACTCGAAAGTAGAAATTGATTATATGACTTGGAAATTGATAGGTTAAATGTTATATATAAAGATGTATGTTTGTTAGGGTGTAAGGACTGGAATCGAAGAAATATGAAATCGATTTTTCCACTGTTTTTCATCATGAACAGATCCGCAGAGGCCCTCTGCTCAAGAACAGATCCGCAGAGGAGCCCTCTGTGGAACAATAAATGCCTCTGCGGAACGATATAAATTTTTTTCTATAATTATTATCTCTTAAAATGGATTATTATCTCTTAAAAAGGACCATTGAATATTGAGATAATTTTATGTTGACTATATGTAAATTAATATTAAAATCGATTTCCAATTATTTCTGTAATTTGAAAAAAAACATTGAAAATTTCTTTAATTATTATTAAAATGGACCATTTATGTAAAATTTATAATATATATGGGACCATTTCTATAAAATTCTGTAAATTTGTTATAAAAAAGGGACAATTAATTTTGAAAGATAATTATTCGTGTAGACCATTGTAAAAAGTTATAGAATAAAAACATTATTTTTGTTGCATAAAATTGTTAAAAAACAATATATAAGTACAATGCTATAAAAATAAAAGTACAATGCTATTTAAAATTACTTTTCAGTACTATTTTTTAAAATTTGGCATATATGTTTAATCTTTTGCAGCATAGTTTGCGTGGATGGGCTGCAGAATGTACTTTTAAAGGGGCGTTGGAGACTGTGTTGAAAAAGTACATTACAAAACTAAATAGTAGGCAAGTTGAATTATTTCGAGAGACAGCTTTTGGGATCTTCATTGGTATGCCTACCCCGAATGGTGACCCGATGCTCTGTCATTTGATGATGTTGCATGAGGTTCGTGATGTTGACGTAGCCAGGGCTGGAAAGTTTCGGTTCGAGGTACAATGCAGGGTGGTTGAATATGGTGAAATGGAATTTTGTTTGATTAGCGGTTTGAGATTTGGACCGTATGTTGATATAATAAATACAAAAGTTAGCACAAGTTCAACATTAAGGAATCGGTTGTTCCCTAATGTGAGAGATGAAGATTTACAGCCGAAAGATTTAGAAGACTACATAAAAGGGCCAACATTCTCGACGTGTAGCGATGAGGATACGGTAATGGTTATGCAAATGATATTTTTATTGAGGAGTCTCATAGGACGAGATGGCAATACGTGCATTCCGTCGGCAGTGTATGAGCTAGCCGATAGTCAATATAATTGGAACAGGTATTAAATTTATTATTTATTATTTATTTATAAATAGTTGATGATTTATATTAATTATAATGAGTACGATAGGTTTGCGTGGGGTACGTATTTGTGGAGGTATAGTGAAACACAAATACGATTATGGTTTGGTAAAATCTATAGATATTTACGAGATAATGAGGGCGAGGGTTACACGAAGATGATGAAGTATACGGTGACCAGTTTTCAGCTTCCGTTTAAGGTTAGTTTTAGGTGCAATCACTTATATTTTTTAAGTGCTTATAAGTTTGGACAAAGCATAATTTTTTGTCGTAATACTAGGCATGGATTTTGGAGACATTTCCTGAAGCTTTGAGGTTTGCGCATCACACATAAAATGAAATTCCAAGAATGAGAACACAATTATCTCTCGAGCAATGTTTACGTATGTTAGACGTTTCAGTGGTATAGTTATACATTCCTTATATTAATTATATATAGTTAAAAATTACAACAATTTTATATACTTAAATTTAATTTTTTAATTTTGCAGGAAAATAACATCCCACGTCATTTTGAACCAACGCCTGTTAAGATCCATTTTCCATTCTTTGTGCGTTATGTAAGTTGGACTCTAGACAAAGTGCAGTCGCCACCGCAACAACAGAGTCCTCCTAAGGAGCGGTCTTCATCACCGCAACAACAGAGTCCTCCTAAGTAGCAGTCTCCATCACCTCACCCGTCTCAGTTTCAGGGAGCAGATTACACCTTAGGCTCTCATTTTCGAGGAGGAGATTACACCTCAGCCTCTCATTTTCAGGAAACATACCACATACCTCTAGAAGACAGTAAAATAGACAAGTTAATGGGCATTCTTACTGAATTGAAAACCACAATCGAGCACTTTCGGAAGAGAATGGATAATTGGGAAAAAGATAAACAATTTGGTGTGAACGATATGGAAAAGGTGGATGCGGGGGAAGCATATTTTTCGTGGTTTAGATCCAGAGTCAGATCATACGTATGTGCAGATGCCACCGCCTATTGTTGAAGTTAATGATAACATAGTTACACCGTTAAAAGGGCGGGTAAAAATGAAATTGAAATTTTGTAGGGAGCCTTACACACAGGTATAAAATTAAGTAATTTCTATTTATATAGTATATAATCGTTCCAAATTAATTAACATATTGATTTTGTAGGTTCCGTCGACAGAACCATTGAAGAACAGAAAATGGAAAAAACCGCAGAAGTCCAATAATGTTGCAAAAAGACCATTACTATTGGACAGTTATGCAGATTGTGATGATGAATTTTGGAAATTGTGGGGAAAGAACATAGGAGCGATATTTGTGGAGCATAGACTTTTAAGAGGTATTGACATGAATTGGGAATTTTGGTTAAGTTTACTTGGTATTGGCTCTGGATGGTTGCTCTCTGAGGTAACACACATCCCTTATTTTATATTACAAAAAGTGTTGGATAATTAATTGTTCAAAATGAATTTTTTTTCTAACACGCAACATTTGGTTATCTGGGCGTCCCTGCTCAAGGAAATAAATCCGTTGACTGGTAGGTGGACGATTATTAATCCTGAAGGCACGACTTTGGAACATGGGAAACAACATTATTTGAGGCGTGTAGCATCTGGGATGGTTGATGGACCACATTTGAAGGATATTAATCGGGTTAGTATATTTATTTATGTGTATATCATATAATATTAAATTTATATATATATGTATATATATATATATATATATATATATATATATATATATATATATATATATATGTATATAAATTAAAATATGTATATATCTAATAACTTATCATTTTTTTTAAGGTTTTAATTCCCATCAACATACCGCACCTACATTGGTATTTGGCTGATATGGATCTCCTTACATGGAAAGTGAGCATATATGATTTAGCCGAATGGTGTGGTTTCTTTAAAAATATGCGGGTGACGGTAGTTTCAAATCGTTGTGAGATAGTATATTAAGTTAACTAGACCACATATCATATTGGGCCCATTTTCCCAATAGACAGAAACCTACTGAGGTGGAATTCGTTAAAGCTAAACATGTGCCGCAGCATGAAAAAGTAGAAGAAGGAGAAAGAGGGGATTGTGGAGTTTTTGTGTGCATGTTCATGGAAATACCTGCATCGGGTGTACCAGTGGAGACACGTCAGTCACATAGAGATACGGGATTTAGTTACCGTAATAGGATGGCATAAATTATTTGGAATAGTAGACTTTGATTGTATTATGATTATTGTTTTAAGAATATTTCTTATGTTTTGATTATGTTATTTGAAATAGTAGACTTTGATTGTATTATGATTAGTGTTTTAAGAATATTTTCTTATGATTTGATTATGTTATTTGGAATAGTAGACTTTGATTGTATTATGATTATTGTTTTAAGAATATTTTCTTATGTTTTGATTATGTTATTTGGAATACTAGACTAGTCGTCCCTAATTACCAATTGTTATTGGGATTTTACAAAAAAAAATACAAAATGCAGCACATTACCACTTTAGGAAGACTTTACAAAACATACAAAAAAACCTTCACATCCCAATACATACAACTACACCAAAAGCTTCACATCCCAACACTAATTAGGTAACTGAAAACCAAAACAAACATGAGATACCAAACAACTAGAACAACTACCAACAGCTTGAACATACGTATGCTCTTCTTGGAATCACACATCCCCTTCTCCATGCTTGCCACTAGACTCTTCTCCTTACTCAGGAGAATCTCCAACTCAACATTCTTAGTCCTCAAGTTTTTTATGACGCCAAGATCCTCTTTGGAATCCAACTGCTGCTTCATGGAATAGATGAGGTTTTTGTAGTAACCATCTTCCAGTGCAACATCTTTCCATTCAAAGTAATCACATTTCCTCAGACATTGTGTTGAAGAATCGAAGGGGTAAAAAAGAAATGAATGAGGTCCAAATCGGGGTTTTTGACACATCACTTAGCCACGTAATAACTGTTTTCTGTGGATCATTGTACTCCTCTGCGGATCAGTGCACACCTCTGAGGATCAGTGCACACCTCTGAGGATCTGTGTACACCTCTGCGGATCAGTGCACACCTCTACGAATCTGTGTACACCTCTAAGGATCAGTGTACACCTCTGCGGATCAGTGTACACCCCTGCGGATCTATGTACACCTCTTAGGATCAGTGTACACCTCTGCAAATCAGTTGTAGAAGTTATAGACGTATTTAAGTGTTTTTTTTGTGAGTTTGTGAGTTTCAATTACCAGTAGAAGTTTTTTTTTCGTTGTGTTTGTGGAGACTGATTTCTATAATGAGTTTTATTATTTAATGTATGGGAGGGTCATGGCAGCTAGTTAATGGAGATGAGGTTTACGTTAGAAATAATGTGAAAAACTATGGTTTAAATCTTCCTCCTAACATTGACCATGAAATGTTATTACAAATGGTTAGAAGTAAGCCAGGTGTGTTAAATAGTCATATATGTTTGTCTTTTAAACACACGAAGTTAGGGTATGTCATGGAGCTTGGAGATGAAACTGATGTATTTCAATTGAGACATGTAGTGTATGAATCAAAGAAGACGGTGCATTTGTATTTAATGGTGGTAGGTGAACAAGCTGAAGAACAAGCAGTGGTTAACAACCAGTTTAATCAAGCAAAAACTAATAGAGGTCGTATAGAAAGTCAATATGATGGAAACAGTTCAAGGGGAAGAGGAAATGTAGTCCCAGTGGGTTATGAAAAAAAAAGTTTTGGTTACTGATAAATTTGTATCTGATAATGATACTTTTGTATCAGAAAATGATAAAGAAGCAAAAGTGGGCATGACTGAATTACAACGTCTAAATTTGTTCGAGTTTGGAGAAGTTCCTGAAATTGATGATCGAATATGTGAGGAAAAATCAAATGAAGGGCGGTCAGATGATGAGTACACCCAACGAAAAACTGCTTTTAATCCATGGTAGTGTATTCCTTCTATTCCTGATTGTCCAGAACCTATTCTTGAACGTGGACCATTTCATAGTTTAGGTCCGAATGATAAATTAATTGTCTATCAAACCTTATAACACCAAAAAAGAGTTAGCATTTGTTGTTAAATTCAAAGCCGTTAGAGAAAAGTTTTAGATAAAGGTTGAAAAATCTTCAAAATCTCGGTACCAGGTTGTTTGTATGCAAGAAAATTGTCATTGGGGTTTATACGCATCTCTCATTATAGGAACAAAAATGTTTGAAATGAAGACGTTTAATGACGAGCATACATGTTCTTCATTGCTTATACACCCAAATCATAGGCAAGAAAATAGCGAAGTTCTGGGAACCATAATACATGACATTATGGGTCAAGGAAGTTTGAGAGTTTGGAACCCTAAGGATATAATTAGAGTTATGAATGCTTTGCTACAAATAAATATGAGTTATTCACAAGCGTGGCATGCTAGAGAATTTGCTTTGGGATTGATGATGGGGACCCTCGAAGAAAGTTTCTCCAAACTTCCAGTTTATTTTCACAATCTGAAGAAAAATAATCTTGGTACAATGGCGTACATAAAAACTGATTCGGAGGATCATTTTGAGTATTGCTTTTTCGCTATTGGATGCGTTGTAATATATTTTTAAATATATGTGTTATTTTTTTAAATGTTTATAAACAAATTATATTGTTGACATATTAATGGTTTTTTATCGTTGTTGCAGATACGTGCTTTTTGAGAGTGTTGTAGAAACGTTATTATTATGGATGGTGCTCATTTGAAGGGAATGTACAAAGGCACCATCTTGCATGCAGTTGCCATGGATGACAACAATCAGATCTTGCCTGTTGGGTATGGAATTTTCCCAAAAGAGACTACGGATTCTTGGACATGGTTTCTTGAAAAACTACATGAATGCATTGGTGATGTGGAAGGTCTGACAATGGTCACATATAGGGCACCCACAATTGCTGTAAGTATTCAAAATGTTTTTCCAAATGATTGGCTCAGCCAACATAGCCCGAATCATGGCTTGTACTCTAGCCATTATGATCAGCTCAGGTCCAGCTACCACTACAGGTACTGGCTAAATCACTTGGGGTTGAGGCTGCTGATTCCTATTTCCGTTCGCGTTTCCGTCTCCGCTTCGGGTTCTTGCCATTTCGATCTATACACCAAATCAGATGTTCAGTGCGAAATGACGAGAATTAAGATAGGAAATATTTTATTTACGATCGACGTGTAAACCTCCGTATCACTCCAAAAAGTTACATTCCAGTTCTAATACCGTAATTAAACGTTTAGAAATCTGAACACATAAAGTTTCCAGATTTGGTCGGCAACAGACCATAGATCCGATCAGACGATAGCATCATAAAATATCACAATTCATTTAGCATATAAATGCATGTTAGGCATTTTCCCTAAATTAGCTAGTGCTTGTGTCTGTTCAGGTGTATTACCTAAAATATATTAGACACACTCCTCACGATCATCACTTAAAATTTTAAGTTTAAGTCAAGAAATAAATCCTTATTCCTAGTTCGCTTAAACTAATGCTCTTATACCAACTATGACATCCCCATTTTCATAGACAGAAAAGACCAATTTTGTTTATGCTTTATAAAAATCAGAGTACCCTTTTTAATAAAAATGTTATGAAATTTGTTCCCAGAAAAACATGTTAAATATGTTATCAAAGCATTTCCGAAGAAATGTATTTTTATTCATTTTCAAAACATTGGGATGTCATCGTCAATACACAGACATAAGCATAAACAGAACTTACATTCATTTACACTAGTGATTTACATCTCTTTTAAATCTCTCAGTGTAAAGTAGCTTCATATCGACACTTGTGATACAAATAACTTGAGTGGGTCAGGTTAGGAAACCTGGTGAGTACATAGGGTTTTCAACCTACAATAATATAATTATTATGTTTAAACATCAAACAATCAACCCAATTAACTATCCCCATTCTCTTCTTTACTCTTAAGGATCTACCCTAAGAATCAGCTATTCCTCGTTCATTCATTCCTAAGGATTACCCTAAGGAATAGGCACGAAGTCCATCATCGCCAGGGTTTACACAACAGGCACTAAGTCCATAGTCGCCAGGCTTTATACAATAGGCACTAAGTCCATAGTCGCCAGGGGTTTATGCAATAGGCACTAAGTCCATAGTCGCCAGGGTTTATACAATAGGCACTAAGTCAATAGTCGCCAGGGTTTATACAATAGGCACTAAGTCCATAGTCGCCAGGGTTCATACAACAAACACTAAGTCCATAGTCGCCAACGTTCCTCTATATCAGCTTTCATTCCTCATCATTCATCTACCCATGTTTTACCCAACATATTTCGTAGATATAAAATACATATACAGTTTAAATCATTTTAAAACATGTATAAGATCGTTCATCCAGCATAGATAGCAAGTATACAGACAATATGCACACATAGCACATAATTTATATAAAATACTTCATATCTATGTGTAAGATGAAAGTAACTATGAACTCACCTGTAAAGGTGGTGATTCTAGACTCAGACAACGCTTCGCTTCTTTAAAAACAATTTCCTTTGATGAAACCTAATATTATTACCACTAGAGTTTAGTCTAATATTCACCGAGACATATTAATAGTCTTAGCATTATTACTATTATATAAGCGTGAAAACAATAATTTTCACCCACTATGTACAAACAGGGGCCAGGCATGAAACACCGGAGGGTAGGACCATTTTGGCATATAACACTTCTGAAATCCAACAACCCAAGCGGCCCTTCAAACCAGATTCCCCGTACCGCGAGTGGTTAAAAAGATATTATAACGACACTTATATATCTCATAATAATAGCCCAAATATTTATTATAAGTTCCTAATAACATTAATATATTTAAATAAAAGCTATATTTAAAATAGGGTAGGCGTATCTCACTTACAGCGGGTTTTATTAAAAACGGGGCTCTGCGCGGACCGAGCTTCTGAGCCGAAAAGCTCTTTTTCTCGGAGCCGTCGGGCGCTACAGGTCTTCCTTCTAACACTAGATAAGTGCTAGGGAAAAACCTTGAAGGTTTGGGAGAATTAGAGAGGGAAATATGAGAAAGGTGTGAAGAAAATGGGAGATTTGCGCACCTATTTATAGGCTGCTAGCGCCAAGTACGATGAGCGTACTCAAGAATTACGCTGAGCGTAATGGGTTTTTTAAGGGTTATGCTAAGCATACTCAAAATTACGCTGGGCGTAATGTGCCACGTGTCGCAATCTCATGCAAAGCCGTGGGGAAGAAGGTGCGGCCCAGATTGTGCCACATGTCACTCGCAGATTACCCTAAAAACTAATTATCTTCTAAAATCAGTAACTTTCACATACGAGCTCCATTTTTGACGTTCTTTATATCGACGCGTAGGTGGGACCGTACTCTACAACTTTCGTTTAGACTCCGTCGGCTAATTTTGATATTATTTTTAAAGTTATATTTTTAACAAGCTAGGACATGAATAGTCCGTTAAAAATTCATAACTTCTTCATCCGATGTCCGTTTTCATTTGTCTTTTTACCGTTACGCTACTATTATCGAGATCTTCGATTCACGTTTAGGTTGTGTCGGCTAAAAATGGGTCGATCTACTTTTCGAATTCCGGGCTGTATACCGCTAAGCCTAAACTTCGAAAAATCATAACTTCCTCATATGAAGTCAGATTTGGGCGTTCTTTTTATGCACGCTCTCGGTTTAACGTATGCTACGACTTTCGTTTAGAACTCTAAGGCTAAAAGTCACTCTGTCGTACATTCACTATTTACGTCACGCAGTGTCGTGCCGGTTTTGTCGCGAAACTTCGACATGCCATAACTTCTTCGTTATAACTCGGATTTCGGTGTTCTTTATATCTATGGAACCCTTGTGACATATGCTACCACTTAGTTAAGATTATTTATTCTAAATAATCTTCTATCGAAAAGTCTTTTTCGACACTTATTGTCTCTA